TTTCCCTTGATGGTTGAAGTTGATATCGTAGCTCAGACTCCTCACTGAAGCCTCGTTTCTGTTTTTGTGTAACAAAGGCCCGGTCACTCGATATGGCTTCCTAGGTACAAGTAACAAAGGCCAGTGTAAGCTGCTGCGAGTAACATCGCCCGTCAGCCGCAGCTCTGAGGAGTTGGACTGTGGTGGGAGGCTCTCGCCCAGTGAGTGTCACTTAGAGAATGACATGCCATTAGTGCTGGTGTTGTAATACTGTTCTAGACATGCCATAAGATGGCACTGTTATGATTACCCTGAATTTGTTGTGATAAAATGTGAAGGGAGAAGTTGATTACCTGGAATTTTTCAGCCAAGTTGTAAAGTTTTTGCTGATTTGACTACCTGTTGCAGTTCTTTGGATTATGATGATTTCTTCTTGTTCTGTGTTACTGATTTGTACTTTACAATCACTTCTATAGGCCAGAACATTTGTCTTGTTAGTAGTAAATATTCAGGGTTTTCATTAGAACAATGTCTGAAACTGATAAGCTCTATGAATTAGATTTAGAAATTTTGTTTTTGATTAGCTTAATTACCTCATTTTCTGTTCCACCTTTTACCAACTGAAAGCAAAATTAGAAAATGCTGTAAGAGAGTACTACCAACATCCTTATCATTATTGATGATAATGGTAATGATTTAGCTATAGAACTTTGAAAATAACTTGAAAATCAATTGGCCACATCCTTGTACAGCTAATATCAATGATGATAGTTATATTAACAGTCATTGTGCACCTATCATTCAGCACTGTTGAAAAAAAATATTTTTCTTTGTAAGCATCTTTTTACAAGTTTAGTGTATGTGCATACTTACATATCTGGCCTTTCCTTGTTTTCTTTGTGGTTTCTTTTGGTTTTGCAAATATGTTTGATATTTACTTTTGAAGTCATAGTTTATTATTTGTTGTTTGTAACCCAAAGAGGTGAGTGACAGAGAGTAACTGTGTGAGAGAGTGACTGAATGAGAGAGAGAAACTGAGTGAGAGAGAGAAACTGAGTGAGAGAGAGAAACTGAGTGAGAGAGAGAGTGACTGAGTGATAGAGAGTGACTGAGTGATAGAGAGTGACTGAGTGATAGAGAGTGACTGAGTGATAGAGAGTGACTGAGTGGTAGAGAGTGGCTGAGTGAGTGAGAGTGGCTGAGTGAGTGAGAGTGACTGAGTGAGTTGAGAGTGATTGAGTGAGTGAAGGGTGACTAAGTGAGAGAGGGAGAAGGAGAGAGAGAGTGAGTGAGTGAGTGAGTGGGTTAGTGAATGAGTGAGAGTGGGAGTGGGTGTGTGTTTGCGTATGTTTGCCTTTTTCTTTGTCTGCTAACATCTTTTATAATTTTGTTATTACCATTTGCTTTGTTTAGTGTATACCAACTCATTTTGCTTATTGGAGTGTATATAATGATACCATTTGCAGTAATTGCATTTTTCAGACTATTTCATTATTGTAGGTTGAAGAGTGCTACATACCTTCCCCCCTCTCCCATTTTTTGTTTTATTTATTTGTATGCATTCATTGCCCTCTGAAAAACAGAATTTGATTGTACATTCTTGCATGTACTTTGCGTATTGTCATTAAAGGTCAAATAAGTTATTGTATTAGACTTAGATGTGTTATATTCATTTTTTTTTTTCTCTCTCTCTCTCTCTCTCTCTTTTTTCTGTTTTTTTGTGTGTGTGTGTTTTCATAATTCTTATTTTAGACTCCATCAAGATTGTATGTATTGATATATCCATTTGTTTGATGCCCTGATAATGTAAAACTTGATTGAGTATCAAGCATTCGGTGTTTTTTCTTTCTTTTCTTTCTTCTTCTGTTCAATTACTTCTGTTTCTTTTGTTTGCTCAGCTGGTTGCTTTGTCATGCATTGCATTTGTTATGAATAGATTAGATAGATTTTTATTTTATTTTGTTGTTAATATAATAGTTTGCATTTGAGAGTTGTTGTTTTTACACACACACACACACACACACATTTTTATTTTTATTTTTACATATTTATATATATAGCAAGTTAGTGCTTATGTTTATAGATTTGCTTCAGGGATAGTAGAAAGGAATTTCATTGCCCTCAATCTTGAATTCTTTTGCTGTCTCTCTTACTGTAAGTTATTTTCATGAAAAAGGAAGAATAAAATCAGTTTTACCACTCTCAGACAGTCAAGTAAGAACAACCTCACTTTCAGGGAGAAGTCTTTGTTAAAAGAAAAAAAAACATTTTTTCCTACAGTTGTTGATGAGCATGAAGCCTCTGGCCTCAGTAATGGCTCTACAGGGCAGTTATCTGTGGGTGGATTGGTGGGAGTGCGAGAGGTAGACAGCAAGACCCTGGAGAAGCTCTCTGAACGGAGCTACCACAAGGACTACATGCGCTTGGGGCTCGGCAGTCTAGCAAGCAACTCCACCACTGTACCTCCAAGGACAAAGTCAGACTTCAGAATCACTACTTGTAATGTCAACTATCAACTTTGTAGAAGGTGAGTGTGATGGAAGAATTTCAGTGAGACAAATTTAAAGGTGATTCTCAAGCTTATAGGAAGAGAAATTAAGAAAGTATTTTCAAGTTATAAGGAGTCTTCTTTCTTGACAGTTATCCAGCCCTGTTGTCTGTGCCCCCCAACACGGGTGATGATAGCATTCACCGCCTGGCACGATGCTATCGCCAAAATCGCTTGCCAGTTATTACTTGGAGACACCCACGCAACAAGGCTCTACTCCTGAGGGGTGCTAGCTTCCACGGCAAAGGTGTAATGAGCATGCTAAAGGGACCGCCAACAACAACAGGTACAACTATTCTTTTTGGCGTTTTCACTGCTATATTTAAAATTTCATATTATTTGTTCTGAAAGAAGGAAAAACATAGATTTGAAGATGTCTCACAAAAAAGAATGACTTTAACAAATTTCTTATAATGGAGGTAAGCAAGGAAAGGACCTATCATTCCAGACCTATTTCATGGCTTCATTTATTTCCTTTCTGTCTTGCAGGCACAACAAGTGAGGTATCATATTCAGTGGAGCAAGAGAAGTACCTTGCAGCAGTTGTACAGGCAACCCCTCTGTCCGTCCTGAGAGAAGGGTCCACTTGGCGACTCACAGGCTCTTCACCTTCAATCAACTCCTTGGTGCTGGCCGCAGGGGGTGCAACCTTGGAAGTCCCCCCCTACCATCCCACTTACCCCACACTCACACCAGAAGTGGGGCGCAAGTCAAATCCCTTATCGAAGGCTATGAACACATTACGGTAAGTGACCAACAGGTTTTGGTGGGAAAGCCGTGGGTACATATGGACTTGTTTAACCCCCATGGGACATGTGTGGACTCTGGCCCATACATGCTCGTGTAGTGTCGCCATAACACGTCTGCTTCTTCTCCTCAACGCGACAGAGTAAGTGTGTAACTTAAGTAGAAACTTAACCTGTACTAATATAACCTGAAACAAACGCTGTTTGTTTTGTTTGATTTTTTAAATATTATTTACTGGGTGAAATTGTTTCATTTTCATTATAAATAAATTTCATTTTAAATTCTTGGGTTAATGATTTTACATAGTTCAGTATAGACTAGTATTAATTTCACTTTTAAAATTTATAGTAGTGTCTTGTTAACTATTATCAGGAATTTAAATTCATTCATGTACAGTAACTTTTAGTGAAAGAACAAAAGTAATTTTTCAATCAGAGATTGAAAAGAATATGACTATATCATTTTGAGCATTCCAAGTAGGCATCAGTTATTTTATTAATTATAGACAGGATATATCCAAGAGTATTTGATATAGTCATATTAATTAAATGAGCATGCTGCATGAAGGTAGTATATTGTTTTGCTGTTTTAACACCTTCACTGACATGTCTTATATGAAAGCTTATATATGTTGTATAAAATGGCTGATCTGTGTATTTCATTGTTGTAGTGGTGTAATGTAACAGTTATATGCTAGCACTGGATCAGATTGCATTTAATTATAACATGCAGATGATTGTAGATTTAGCCTAACGGTATTTTAGAGCACTTGACTGAGTATTGGCATTGCGGACACTAGCAATTTTGCTGTTGCTAAAGTGAAAAAGGCCATAGCTTTTGAGTATGTCCTTGAATCATGTGACCTAAGATTCTCTCATACAAAAGTGACTCTTAAGGCATTGATTCATTGCATAGTCTCAAACTCTGTGCTGTATCTGTGCTGTATCTTTTGCTGACACTTCTTTTTCATTTCATGCTTATTTTATTGAAGCTATTTTTGCAGCTTTTGCTAAATCTTGTATATATAGCACAGGCTTCAACAGGAGCTTTGTTTGCACTATCCACACAACACAGAACATTTCAGTAGTTCTAAATTCAGTCACTGGACTAATTTGTAAATACACTGTGTAAGACACACAAAAGGCTCAGTGCTAGTAAGTAGATGATATTTTTACAGTACTGTACCTATTGAGCATGAAACCTGTTGTGGTGTAGAAAGCCTTCAGTGTGGTTATCTGAAGCTCAGCTGTAGCATGAAGGTTGTGAGATAAACATATCAGTAGAACCTTGCATAGTGAAGTGCATATGTTGCTTTTGTTTATGCATTTTCCCCGCATATGCTTTTTTGTGTGTTCCCTTCTTAATTAATTGTGTGTGATGAATATTTTCTATTGAATTACTTAAAATGAATTTGTTTTTATGTAAATAAAAAGTCTAAATTAAAAGTGAACATTTGATTGTGTTAAACTAGAGTTATGATAATGATAATAGTACATGCAGTAAGTGTTTAGTTAAAGCAAGGTTTTGCCGTATGTTTCTAGCACCAGTACTGTTTAGTCCTTGTGCATATATGTCAAGTCCTCTTGTCAGTGACTGCTTGATCATGGATTACTTCTAATTTCTTTAATGGAAATTTAGTTTTTATTTTCATTTATTTATTTATTATTTTTTCCATCACTAAAACCATGGGAGTGACTAAAGTACCTATTTCTGGTGGCTGTTTAAC